TCCCTTCAGCAGGCAGATGGTGGCAAGTTTTTGAAAGCTAACAATCTTTTTTCAGTATTGAAAAGGCTTCCCAGCTCCTTTTTTTGAAACCTTTTAGGGCTCTTTCACCTGGACTCCATAGAGTGTGAAGAGCCATTTGTTTCATTTTGTTGTCCTAGCATTGTCAGGGTGGGAAGGGGGGTTATTGTTTAGGGTGGAGAGGTGTGGGGGGTGTTATTGTTTAGGATGGAGAGGTGGGGGGGTTATTGTTTAGGGTGGAGAGGCGAGGAGGGGGTTATTGTTTAGGGTGGAGAGGTGAGGAGGGGTTATTGTTTAGAGTGGAGAAGTGGGGAGGGGGGTTATTGTTTAGAGTGGAGAGGTGGGGGGGTTATTGTTTAGGGCAGAGAGGTGGGGGGTTATTATTTATGGTGGAGAGATGGGGAGGGAAGTTATTGCTGAGGGTGTAGAGGTGAGGAGGGGGGTTATTGTTTAGGGTGGAGAGGTGAGGAGGGGGTTATTGTTTAGAGTGGAGAGGTGAGGAGGGGGGTTATTGTTTAGAGTGGAGAGGTGGGGGGTTATTGTTTAGGGCAGAGAGGTGGGGGGTTATTGTTTAGGGTGGAGAGATGGGGAGGGAAGTTATTGTTTAGAGTGGAGAGGTGAGGAGGAGGGTTATTGTTTAGAGTGGAGAGGTGAGAGGGTGGTTATTGTTTAGAGTGGAGAGGTGGGGGGGGGGGGGTTATTGTTTAGAGTGGGGAGGGGGGTTATTGTTTAAGGCAGAGAGGTGGGGGGTTATTGTTTAGGGTGGAGAGGTGGAGGGGTGGTAATTGTTTAGGGTGGAGAGGGGGTTATTGTTTAGGGTGGAGACGTGGGGAGGGGGTTAATGTTTAAGGTGGAGAGACAGGGAGGGGAAATCACTGCCCTGCTGTACAATACCCAGCAGACCCATCCCTCCCCCTCTAAGAAGTTCTGCAGCAGCTGAGACACCCAGGGAAAGTTCACCATCCAGCCACCCCGGGGAGGGGAACAGCCGTTACAGAAATGGCTGCCAGTCTCCCATTCACAGAACTGTGATTGAATGACAAGGTTGGGTGGGCGGAGCCACACACAGGCACATGTTTTAAAATTGTGACGGCGGGTACGGGGAGAGGATCCCTGACCCACTATCATAACAGGGACTCTGGGTATGTGTGTCTGGGGGGGGGTCAGGTTTTGGTGCAACAGTAACATGTTACAAAAGGGGAACTTATCCTTTACCTTTATAAAAAAGGAGGGGGTGTTTATGATGCCTTTATTAATTTAGGGTTGGTGCTTGGGGATTTTCTTTAGTTTTTTTTTGTTGGTCTTTATTCTTTTACAGTGTAAGCAGCAGCACCATGAAGCTGTCGGTGACAGTTCACAGCATACTACTGTTGTGCAGTTTAGTCCTTAGAAAAATGTGTCATGCGCACAAAAGATCCACATCCCCCATACAGCTCTTCTATAGCTGTTAATAATGCTCAGAAATAACCCCTACTATAACATCATGTCATGGAGGCCCAAAGGGAGAGGCAGAGGTTGTTGCTATGTAGGTACCAGGAGTGGTTAGCTTCTGTATTCACAGGCCAAAGTGGCGGTTGGAGTGCAAGTAGCAAGCAGTCATTGTCAGTTGCAAAAGCACTGGGTTCATCCAACCTGGCAGAGGAGTCGGCTGAAATATTTGATCACAGCCTCAGCCACTTGCTGCAAGAGGATGCACAGCAATTAAATGCATCAGAGATGGAGGAGGATAGCAATGGGAGCATAACAATGGAGGGGACAACAGAGAGGAAAAAACAATTGGTACAGATGTACCTGCAGTTTCAGCTTACTGCCAGCTTGGCTCCAATAATGGAGATGGAGGAGATGATGATGATGATGAGATCCCCAACAATACCTGGGTGTCAGATAAAGTCCCTTTAGGGTTGCCACCTCATCCCTTTAAAAACTAACACATATTTGCTAGGAATCTCCATGACTAAACTTTTCTGGATGGTGGACCAACAAGGGTTTCCTCTGAATTGCATATTTATGTGACCATAATAGGTCCATGTCGAAGCAATTTTTATTAAACTAACATCAGCTCCCATCAACAGAAATATATCAATATACTCAATTAGCACATTTTATGGTGACCCTTAAGCAAGCAGAGGACCTGACCACTTCCACCCCAATGGAACTCTTATGCAAGAACTACGATAAGCATAACAGATTTATTTCCAAAATCTATACCCTGCTACACTCTGATTCTTCCAAATTGCCTTAAATGGGAAAATGGGAACAAGACCTGGGTGAGCCAATGGACACCGCAGAATAGGGAAAAGTGGCCCAATATGCCTCTGTGTCTTTTATCAATACGTCATTAATAGAGGCAAACTATAAGATTCTCTTAAGATGGTATATGGTACCTGTGAGAATAGCGCCCTGTGTTCCAGGTGCCTCTCCACTTTGCTGTAGGGGCTGTGGTCAAGAAGGAACAGTGCTTCACATCTGGTGGATATGCCCAAAAGTGAGGCGGTTCTGGATTTGCACATATAACTTTGTCTATTCCCTCACCCAGGTGAATCTCCCTAAAAATCCTGAACAGGCCCTATTGGGAAGTCCAGCAGAGGGGGCACATGAGACAGTTGATAACCTTTATCTTTACAGCAGCTAGAATCTCAATTGCGAGATCTTGGAAGTCTCCTATGATCCTGTTTCATCTTTTAAAGGCCATGTTGACATAGATCATGACAAATGAATGCCTGTCATCGATTCTACATAACAAAATGGTCTTCTTTGGGAAAACTTGGGACCCATGGATCAAATACCTCACGGACTCCCAGTGACCTGGAGGATTCCCTTACTCCTGAACTTGGACGAGTGCGCACCTTTTTCCTTCTTTCTCTTCTCCTCTTCCTCTCCTTTCTCTTTCCTTCCTCTTTTGATTTTCTTTAGTTCTTCTTTTTGGTTTAATCCAGTTTTTCCTCTTTTCTTTAAGGGATGATCTCTCTACACCATCCGCTGTATGAGGCACAATAATAATATTTAGCTCCATGGCAAGCCACAGGCTCATATAGTAGGAGTGTCCAGGAGGAGGACCTGTTGCACACCATCAGAACTAAAACAAAGTAGCCTGTCCTTGGGCATGGCAAAGAAGCACCTAGTTTCTTTATTTATTCTCCTCACATACTCAACTTGTTTTATTAAGCATGATGGAGATATGCTCTGATATATTGGATTTTTTTGTAATATTCATGAATTTTATAGTTGTGTGTTTCTTTGTCTATTACACCGCAATGTGCCTGGATGTGTATGCTGTTGGAATGATGTTTTCTTTTCTTCATGTTCTCGGGATATTTGTGTACTTTTTTGGAAACACAATAAAAACCATTGGAGATGAAAACCGAACACATATTAATTCCACAGGTTCTGTAGCTGATTAAACTGGTAATTAAACTCACCTAGTGCCTTATCTGAATTAAATTAGACTCAGAACCTGTGTAATTAATATGTGATTGGTTTTTAAAGAGATAAGCTGGCAATCCTAAATCCCTTCTCCAGAGCATCAATACGTGCTGCAGACTGACCATAGTCATTTGCAGTCTGTTATCAGTGTACCAAATGCGGCAAATATCCCAATCATTTTGGTGCCACATGTATAAAGAGATACATGAGCAGCACCTGAAGGGTAGCAGTAAAGAGGACCTGTCATCAGATATATTCTTTAATGATAAGTACATGCATGCAGAGTAATCTCTTTTCAGGTGTTTATTACCTCTCAAAGAATGAAAAGTAATCCCCCTCACAAAGCCTTCATTTACTCTCTCTTCGGAAAGACGATGCCATCTTTGTTCAGGCACCGATCAGCATCACATCTACAATCATGTCAATCCCGGTGCCTGTGCAGGTTTTAGCTGCCCTCAGAAAAGGCAGACACAGAGTATTGTTTAGTATGTTGGTGTCCATTTTTTTTTATATACACACTTATTTAGAATTTGTTGATGTATTAATAGGATCACACTTGTTTTATCTAACTTAACCACTTCAATACCAAGCACTTATACCTCCTTCCTGTCCAGGCCAATTTTCAGCTTTCAGAGCTGTCGCATTTTGAATGACAATTGAGTGGTCATGCAACACTGTATCCATATGAAATTTTTATCATTTTTTTTCACACAAATAGAGCTTTCTTTTGGTGGTATTTAATCACCACTGAGTTTTTTTTATTTTTTTGCTAAATAAAACAACACCTGAAACTTTTGAAAAAAAAACGCACTTTTCTTCATTTCTGTTATAACATTTTGCAAATAAATAACATTTCTTCATAAAATTTAGGTCAAAATTTATTCTGCTACATTTCTTTGGTGAAAATAATAATAATAATAATAATTGAATTTGTATTTTTTTTTTCAAATGTTTCTCCTATTTTTTAAAAAAAAAATTTATTAAATTTTTTCTTTTTTTTACTATTTTATTTTTCAGCACACTGTGACCAAAGCAATACAATGTTACCATAGTAACATTGAACTACTCTGGACAAGTGATCAGGATTTTTTTTTTTTTCTTCAACACATGATTGCTAATACTAATGTATTTCATTGATATTTGCAATCAGTGTTAAATCATTGAAACTGATTTATTCAGTCTTTTGTTGTGATTAGTTGTGATTGGGCAAAGCTGAGCACATGATACAGATGGGCTGTGATTGGCCCTGTCTGTATCATGTGACTGCCTTGACCAGTCACAGCTAACAACATAATTATATACAATGGATGTCATTACAGGAATTCATCCATTGTATACAATTGACATGTGATCTGCTGTGATTGGTCACTGTGGTCACATGACACTGGCAACAGGCAGTGTAGTGACGTCATCGGCTTTGTCCCATGGACCGCGGCCGTGTGAGCGGCTCGTTTTGACAGGACATCATTTGACACCCAGTCACAACGGCGAGTGTCCCACCCAGCAGTCAATCTGCTATAGGCTGGGAAGGTGTTAAAGTGTTACTAAACTCACAACAGTAAAATGAGTTTGTATATGGAGTAACGCATGCTTGTTATACTCACTGTGGAACCTAAGGGGTTAATACTTCACATCTTGGTAAAATTCTGTTTTATCCTGTCTTGTTTGAGCCTTGGGGGCAAGCTGCACATGCTCAGTTTGGTGTGTATTGCTGGAGAGCTTTTTTTTTCTTTGGGAGGGTGCATGTAATCAGCACAGGGCCAATCAGCACTGTGCAAACAGAGTGTCAGTGGTTATGAAGCTTCATAGGGCAGTCAAAGCAGAAACTCCTCCCATTATGAGAAAAGGTATTCAGTAGTTTATATCAGGCCTTGAAATTTCCCACTCGCCATTTAAATTTGGTGGGGGTGACTGTGTCCCCCAAGGCCGTCTTGCTGAGCAGGCTCGGAGCTCAGGCCAGATCTGTCATTGGCACTGGGAGCCGTCAGACTGCTTAACCCCTTCACGCCGGATCGTCCCGGCGTGAAGAGGAGTTCCTACGCCGGGAGGTGGGCGGGACGGAGCGTGGCTTAGTGTCATGTGACCGGCGTGACGTCACGTCAAGGCTGGTCACATGATCGGGAAAGGTCCCGTCCCGATCGAAAGAGCGGACCGGGACCCTTCCGTGAGTACCTCACATGTGCTGGGAGCGCGCAGGGTGCGCGCTCTCAGCACATATGTTTTTTGTTACATGAACGCAAATGTGCGGCAGATCGGCGTCTGGGCCCACACGCCGGGATGCCGCACATTTGCGTGCGGCCGGCGTGAAGGGGTTAATAACGGAGCGCAGTGAAAGCAAAGGAAGGAGTGTGTGCTGTGCTCTCTGCCTCCCCCTAGAGTGCAGTACCGGCTCTGTGAGTGAACAACGAAGTACTGCAACTTTTTAATAGGTGTGTCTGTGTGAATGTACATGTGTCTGTGCGTGTGTATTTCTGTGTATGTACATGTATCTGTGTGTATGCGTGTCTGTACATGCCTGTGTGTGTATACATGTGTCTGTATGTGTGTGTGTGTGCATGTGTCACTGTGCTACAAGTTTCTGTGTGTGTATGTACATGTCTGTGTGTGTGTAGAGGTGTCTCTGTTTGTGTGTGTTTGTTGGTGGTGAGTAACTCTTAAGGCCTGGCTACTAGCTCAGGACTTAAAATTTTAAGCCCTGGTTTATATTTACTAAAATAATTGCATTTCCATGTTGTGTGTACTGTGGGAGACCAGATATAGTGAATGCAGGGTCCAGGGTTTAGTAATATTTTAATATATAATTTCACAGTAGTAAAACATATTTAAGATTTCATTATATTCACCATTACCTCATGTGTCTCCTATCCCTATCTGACCTCAAATACACAGAACATTTTTTTCCTCCCATGGACGCCTCTGCTCCAGGAGAGCAAAAAAAACAAAATCAGCTTAAAAAAATGCACCTCTAAAGCCATGTTTTGCAAACGCATTTCAGCACATTCATTCATTCCATTGGCCACAATAAAAATTTATTCTGCCCACTGAAATGAATGAGTGTGTAAGATCTAAATGAGCCCAGCATTTAGATGTGTTTACATGCGTTCACACATTTTCAGGCACACCGGAGGTGCATTGTTAGCCTCCAAATGCTCCTCTTCTAATACGACTGTCAATGCCTATGTGTACAGGCCACATATGCTAAAATACATGCATGTTTAAAGGATGACAAGTCTGTAAAACCAGTGTTTTGCATGCGGCTTTAAGGTTTTTATGTTTTTTTGTCTCCAATGTCCACATTGCTTCTTCCTGAGCAGTGAAATTTTGAGTCCTCCGAAAATAAGGCTCTGATCTCCATCTAGGGGCCACCTGAAGAAATTACTATGAATGTGTTAAAGAAAGACTTGTTACTATGTGTTTTTCATTATTTCTGTACTTTTGTATTTACGCAATTTTATATAGGGGACAGTTTCACAACCTTTTTCTTTAAAAGCCTACTGTGTCTATATTAATCTGTTTTTAGTTTGTCCAATTATTTTGGTTTTGGAATAGCTTGTTTGTTCCGTCGCCTTTCCTGCAGCACAGTGCTATATCCACTGCTCAAAAAAATTAAAGGAACACTTTTTAATCAGAGTAGAGCATCAAGTCAGTGAAACTCCTGGGATATTGATCTGGCCAGTTAAGTAGCAGAGGGGGTTGTTAATCAGTTTCAGCTGCTTTGGTGTTAATGAAATTAACAGGTGCACTAGATGGGCAACAATGAGACGAAGCCCCAAAACTGAAATGGTTTTACAGGTGGAGACCACTGACATTTGTTTGCCCTACTCATCTTTTATGACTGTTTTTCATTAGTTTTGCTTTTGGCTAGGGTCAGTGTCACTACTGGTAGCATGAGGCAATACCTGAACTCTACAGAGATTGCAGAGGCAGTCCAACTCCTCCAGGATGGTACACAACATCAACATGTTCCATTGCCAGAAGGTTTGCTGTGTCTCCCAGCACAGTCTCAAGAGCATGGAGGAGATTCCAGGAGACAGGCAGTTACTCTAGGAGAGCTGGACAGGGCTGTAGAAGGTCCTTAATCCATCAGCAAGGAGGCACAGGATGAGCACTGCCAAAGCCTACAAAATTTCCTCTAGCAGGCCACTGGTGTGAATGTCTCTGACTAAACAATCAGAAACAGACTTCATGAGGGTGGCCTGAGGGCCTGACATCCTCTAGTGGGCCCTGTGCTCACTGCCCGCACCATAGAGCTCGATTGGCATTTGCCATTGAACACCAGAATTGGCAGGTCCGCCACTGGTGCCCTGTGCTTTTCACAGGTGAGAGCAGGTTCACCCTGAACACGTGACAGATGTGAAAGGGTCTGGAGAAGCCGTGGAGAATGTTATGCTGCCTGTAACATCGTTCAGCATGACCGTTTTGGTGGTGGGTCAGTGATGGTTTGGGGAGGCATATCCATGGAGGGACGCACAGACCTCTACAGGCTGGACAATGACACCCTGGCTTCCATTAGGTATCAGGGATGAAATCCTTGGACCCATTGTCAGACCCTATGCTGCTGCAGTGGGTCCTGGGTTCCTCCTGCTGCACGACAATGCCCGACCTAATGTGGCCAGAGTATGCAGGCAGTTGCTGGAGGATGAAGGAATTGATACCAGTGAATGGACCCCACGCTCGCCTGACCTGAATCCAATAGAACACCTCTGGGATATCATGTTTCGGTCCATCTGATACTGCCAGGTTGCACCTCAGACTGTCCAGGAGCTCAGTGATGCCCTGGTCCAGCTCTGGGAGGAAATACTCCAGGACACCATCCGTTGTCTCATTAGGAGCATGCCCCGACGTTGTCATGCATGCATACAAGCAGATGGGGGCCATACAAACTACTGAGTACCATTTTGAGTTACTGCAAAAATTTCAACAAAATAGACTAGCCTGCTGCATCAATTTTTTCACTTTGATTTGATTTTCAGGGTATCTTTGAATTCAGTCCTCTGTAGGTTGAGAATTTTCATTTGCATCAAACAATGGGGCATCCTTATCAGTACAGACATCCAGCATGATACTTTTCCCCATTGAAATGTGATGTGTTTTCAAAGTGTTCCTTTAATTTTTTTGAAATGTGTATAATGTCATGTCTCCAGTTCCCTTCATGCTTGATAAAGAGGGCAATTCCTCATAAGACACTGTTCTCCCTTCTTGTGGGCACTTGCACCTCATACCCCTGGAGGTACCACTAGGAGACAGCTATTGCCACCATCTTTGGGCTCCATGCACACTGGTTTTAAAATAATCTGCTCCTAGAGGAGTTTAGCGTTTGCATGTAGAAGCAAATAATGTTATCTTATGTGTCCATGCACAATACTTTGTTTGGAGGCATATTTTAAGCTCAGTGTTTAGAGGCGGATAGAAACCCTTCCTTTTTGCTTTGTTGAGAGCAGTTTTCTGGCAAAAAAAAATGCTAAACGCTCCTAAGTGCTAGTACAAAAAATACTCAAAAGTAGCATTTATTTCTGCTAAGAGCACTGGCGTTTTTTTTTAAGCCAGTGTGCCTGTAACGTTGCCATCCTTGGAGCAGGCCCTGTCTGAGGAATGGATGGTTGCATGTGTACCACCTCAGCTCCACTATTGGCCACAGTGTGCAAGCTGGATCGGTCTCCCTCTGGCCGATGTGCGCTGTGACAAGCTGGAGCATTGAATTTCCTCTTTGCCGTTAGCCAAATAAATAGAACTTGATATATTGTACAATATCTGTGTGCTCTTGTCTTATTGCTTTCTTGTAGTTCTGTGGATACCCCCCCCCCCCCCCCATTTCTTTGGATCAGCAAGATCTCATATACCCTGAACCCATGGACTGCCCTTCCCTTCTATAAGTACTATGGATTGTAATGCCTACTTGTGGGGGATATTGCTGTATACAGTACTGTGTGCTTTGGTTCTGCCATCAGTTTTATCTATCTATTGCAGTTGTGACATTACTCATTCTTGCTATGGTTTTGCTACTGGTACAAGTTTCCATGCATTGTTTGACCTGACATTTATGTAAGATTTCAAGTCTGGTTAGGAGTGTTAGGGGACAAACTGACAGTAAGGACTTTCCGTGCAAACTGGAGGCTTTGCTGCCAATTAAGAGTGTTGAAATTTCCCTGATAGGCAGAACTTGAAACAGAAAAAGCCATACATAAGAATACCTGTCTAAGCACAAGCCATAAATATAATGAAGGGCTGCAGGGAATGGGCAGGATGAATATAAATTTGATTGGTCATTCACCACTAGGAATCAATCAATCTGTGGTTATGTTCCATTTTTTTTTACTATACAATGTATTAGTCGATGTATTGTTAGACCTAATTAAAAAATTATTAAATATTGACATTAAAGCACATAGGTGCTTTAATATCAATATTTAATAATTTTTTAATCATCATTAATTAAGCGGTTTCTTAACATATAAATGTATTTATTTATTTTTACTATTTGGTTTTTAAATCACCTTTTATGATCCATGATTTATCATTAATATAATATATATATTATCATTGTTACCTTACTTTGAAATTTACGTTTTATCAAATTCTCTATATATTAATTATGGATGGGATAATCTTTTTTAGACACATTCATCAATGGCTTCCACAGAGTTTGCCGATGTGCCACTACTAATAATGTATTATCCCAAGTAATATACTTATCATCTATTCAAATATTAACGCACCTTTGAATTGAATAGTTTTTTAATCAACTATTTACCTATTTACGTTTGCATTCACCCTTTACCCATGGTAAAATGGCGCTGCGCAGGCGCACTATTACTACTCTCCGGACTTTGGCAAGATGGCGCTGGCTGCCATCTACCGTATAAATAGCCGGCTTCATTGTCATGGCATCACTTGGTCTCCACCTCTGAAGAAGTGCGTGTGCACGAAACGCGTTAGAAGGAGCCTAGGACGTCCTGACGTCACGCCGTCGGAGCCACGTGGAGGCCCGGTGGCCATCTTAGTTCCTAGATGGTCAGTCTGTTTGCATACCTTGCTTGTTTACTTTTTATTGAATCCTTTTGATATTGAATAAATTTTGACACAAAATACTACACTATGGGCACTCTCCTTGGTCTCCCTTAAGGAGCTATGTTATTTATAGAGCCCTACTACGATCCAGTTACCAGTCCACCATATCCAGAGAGGGAAGCTCCTGTAAACAGGCATCTGTACCCACCTATCCCTTAAAGGGACCTCTGGCCAGCTAATCTACACCACTGAGGGCTCATAACCTTACCACCCTGAGGGAGGATCACCCTGAGTTCCAGTCCGGACCTTTACCTGTGAAGGAGATCCGTTTTGATTTACACATTGCATAACTGAATTACGCTTCTGGTGAGTGCGTACTTCTTACCTTATCATTGGGAGCACCGCCACTGGATTGGATCAGTATACCACATTGTCTTCACTATATAGACTGTCACTGATATATGCCTTGATTATTGGGGACAATTTTTATCATATTTTATTGTTCAGCGCTGCACTTTTCTATTACATGTCTACAACTCATCAGTTTAGAAAAAAAATGAAATATATTGCAGCTTACCAATCCTTAGCTGTAGTGGCGATATTTTTTTTTAGGATTCTTCCCCCTGATGAATGAGCACAGGAGGCAGATTTGGAAAACAGCATTGTCAGTCTGGGGAGAGGGGAGTGTTAGATGTACTAGCAGATTTAAATACACAAACAAATTGAAGCTAAACTCTAGCTTCTACTTTCTAATCAG